GTAAGCTTTCACCCATTTGTCATAGCTCGTCCCTGGACCGAGATAGTTGATGATGTCGAGGAAACGGGCCCCCCTGGTGAGCAAGAAAATGACTTTGTTCGCCTTTTTCGTGACCCTGATCTTCTTTTCTTTCTCTGCAAGAATGCTGGCAAAGTAGTTTTTGATCAGATTGAGGTCATAGGTGCCCGTGTTGAACCCCAATATTGGTACCTGGTCGCACCATTCGTAAATTTTTTGTTGCTGCTCTTTCGGCAGCAGGTGCATGTCTTCCGGAACGAACTCTGTGCGCACCTGGTCCTGGATGTTTTTTGCACGTCTCTCCAGCTCTTTCATGAACTTTCGGACCAACTCCACGGGGTCTCTTTCACAGATGGGGGTGGGCTTTCTTTCGAGGGTGTCCCCGATGCTGACCGAGATCGGGATGTGGACGTTTTCGATCGTCAACGCTCCTGTCGGCTCTTTTCGATGGTTTTTGTCGCCATACGACTCGAAATCATAAATTATCACGTGCAGGTACGTTTTCGTTTCCTTCTTCGGGAGTTCCCCCTTCAGATGCCCAGCTTTGCAAGACCACGCTTCGATTACTTCGTAGCCCATCTTCCGCAGAAATGCAGTATGGTTCATGGTGGCTTGGTACAGTTCTTCGGGTGTTCTCCCGCCATTCAGAATCATTTGTTCTCGATAGCGCGGGTAACATTTTGGGCATCCTTGGTAGGGGCAGCCGTGGTATTGGAACACTGTCCTCGTTTCGTGGTTGTACCCGTCAACAGTAGAGGCCTTCATTTTTCCCGCACATTGCGTGGTGGATGTGGATTCCCCGGCGCTTCGCTTCTCGCTCCAGCCACAACACCGCTTGANCCGTCAACAGTAGAGGCCTTCATTTTTCCCGCACATTGCGTGGTGGATGTGGATTCCCCGGCGCTTCGCTTCTCGCTCCAGCCACAACACCGCTTGAACGGATGCTGAGCCCTTCGGGGGTACATCACTTTCTCGAAGGCCGTCAATGGTGCTTCCACTTTTGTCCCCGGGCAAAAGATAACCGTTTTTCCTGCGCTGCAGGATTTATGATGCCGCTTGAGATTGCAAGCTTGTGTGAATCTCTGCCCGCAATGAGTGCATGCATAGGTTTTCGCCAGCTTTGTGATGTCTTTTATCAAGAAAGAGTGGCCTTCGTAGACACCTATCGTCAAAATGTTTTTGAGTTTGGGGTTCGGGTTTGTTCTTAGGTGCCAAACCACTTCTCCGTCTTGAAGACGCTCCGGCTCGTAGACACGTATTCCGAGCCAAGATGAGACGGGCGAGCCCTGATTCAGATGGGCTTCCAACTTGTCTAGCTCGTCCAGAGACGTTTTTCTGAAGTTCGGTGGAATGGCCTTGAGCTTATAGAAACTCTGGGCAAGTCTTCGAGCTTCTTTCGTGCTTCGGTGGGGAAGAGCCCCTCGGTGCACAGCGAGGCACCTAAATAGGCACAGATTGTCGTTATACGTGTCCAATGCCACCATCAACCGGCTATGGGCAAGGTTGCGCAGCCAGTCAGGCAAAGGCCCTGTTCCCACCAACGGCTGCCTGTCAGGCACAACCTTCACGTCAACGTTGAAAAAGTTTTCAAAAACCCACTTCGTGCTGGGCCTTTCAACTCTCATTGTCAAGACGCAGTTCTTCCTGGGTTATAAGCCACGATCACCGTTCCATCCTCAATGTTGCACAACTGGTGTGCGAAAACGTGCCTCAGATAGAACGATGTGCTTACTCTTTCACGTAACTTCGCGAAAGAGTCTGGTGTTAGGTTTCTCCCCAGACCTCTGATGAAGCGCCATCAAATGAAACGCCGGCCTGTACTCTCTTCCCCTTCGTTCTCTGCATCGTCGAACAGATCCAGAATCTCCTTCTGGTAGTCTGTCACTGTTCTGGTTTTCCGCGCAGGGAAGGGGTCGTACTCCCTCAGAAGCTCCTGCGTTTTTCTTGACTTTCTTTGGCATGGAGGGGCTCTTGGCTGGTAAGGCTTCAGAAGTAGTGGCTTTTGCAGACGTGCCTGCGTTTCCTGAGAAATTGGTTCTTCCAGGACGTTCTGGACAATCTTTCTTACCGCTGGCGCGTGTTCTGCAAGAAGTTGATCGAAATAACGTAATACCACGGGATCTATTTTTGCGAGTTCTTCTTCCAGTCTTTCTTGATTGTTGGAAGCCATAGTTCCTTACGTTATAACCCAAGGTTTCATTTCTCTAACTGATGTGTTTTCTCTCTTTCAGCTCGAGCAAAACAAGTTCAAAAATTTTTTTTGCTTTTTTACGTTTGCGGATAAGACGTTGTTTTAGCACGTTACCGCCGCAGGGCTTGCAGAGACAGTAGTCGCACAGAAGACCGACTCCGCAAACTCTGCAAGGCTCTGGCCTTTTCATTCCTTTTTTCAGCTGGTAGTTGTGCTGTCCGCAATACACCCCGTAACAACGCTTCCTGCAGCTTTCTTTCCAACCCCGCATCAGCCACCCGCACTTGTTTGGCGCTCGAGTCATCCCGGCTCGGGCGGTATAATAGCGGGCTT